AACCTGGATATTGATGGCACCACCGTTGCATGTGCTGGGGCTTCAGCTGAGCACTTGTATTCATTTCCCCTTGTCTCCTGTCTGGGAACTCAGGAGGACCAGACGCCTCATGCGCTTGTCATAATGCCTTTCTCAACACAGACTTTATTCCTTCTTAAACTGTGAACTAAAACAAACCTGTCGACTATTAAGTTGCTTCTTCTCAGGTGTTTGATCACAATAACACGTAGACATATATAAAAATGTATGTGTGTGTTTATGTATGTACAAATGTATACGTGAATGAATGCAAGTATGCATGCATGCATGTGTAAGTATGCAAGTATGTATGTATTATGTATGTATGCATGTATGTATGTATGTATGTATGTATTATGTGTGTATGTATGTATGTATTTGGTATCACAAATGGGGTTGTTTCTGCAGCAAACTTGACCATGTAATTAATAGGCTTTTGGAACTATTTTCATTAGGAATATGGAAGAGTTTGAAGCTTCAGGATGAAGAAGTCCTATAATGCTGAAAGATTTAAAGGAGCATTTTGATGGGAGTTTGGAAGACTAAGATGCCATGAGAAGTGCAAACAGTGAAGGTGTTTAGGTGAAACAAGTACTCTACTGAAAACCGTCCTTTAGGACCCTGACTTATTTTGACAGAGAAAATAACTTTACCCTGCTAATACTTTCTCAATTAAAGGTTAAATTTAAAAGTAATAGACTAACTTCTTTGGTCGAGAAACTTTCAATTCGGGATAACATTCAGACTGTGGAATTATTACAGCCCACTGCTTTTATTTGGAGCTATAGTAGAATAGAGAGAAGGGAGAAAAAGGGGAGAGGGGGTAATACATGAAAAAAGTGACGTTTCACAAGGAAGAAAATGTGAACTAGTTTGAGGTAAGAAAGGAGATGAAGTTGCTAAGGATTAGCATCTTTATAAAGAAACCTTGATGTCGGCACTGAGACATTGAGAAATGTGGCTTGTGGGCAAGATCTCATACAAGGCGCTACACTTTGTGAAAAGGCCAACCCATTTGAAGGAGAGCACATTCCTTGACTGAGAATATCAGCTGAAGGTATCTCCACTTGAAAACAAGAACCTAGCAAGTGTTTGCCCAGGATCAGCAACAGAGACCAATGCAACTCTGGTCCAAGTGAAGCCAGACTACACCTGAAGCATGCACCATATGTCTATGTCATACTTTTTGCAATTACAAAAGAAGCAAGAAGAAGGAAGTGATAGAATTATGCATCAATTATGTTCCTGACTGAGGCCAGTCAGTGTGTGGCAGGCTTGTAGTCCCAAAAACAAGGCCCTAAGGGGCCATTGGGTGGTGCTGTGAATGGGAAACCTGAGGACCACCGGATTTTCTGCTGGAGAGGAAAACCCACAGGTATATATAGAATGGACCTAGCTCAGCGGAGAGGCTGGGTGCTGTGGGCAATAGAGGTGGAGGGGTGAGGTCACCAAGCTAGTTGGAACACAGATGATGGCTTCATGATCTCCAGATGCTGGATGTGTACATTGAGGATTTAATGTTTGCCCTGCTGTATTTAAGTCTCCTTTGGTCTTCCTGCTACCAACCCATTCTTCCCTTTTGGAATGGGAATGTTGACTTTGTGACATTTCTATATTGGAATTATGGACCCCATTTTGATTTTATATATATAAAAAATTGACTTAAGTCTCAGAAAAGACCCTAGACTTTTTACTTCTAAAGAGTGTCGAAATTTTAAAAGATTAAGGGGGCTTTTGAAGTTGAATTTTACATTATGAGTTGAATGTATTTTGCATTATAAATTGTCAATGAGCCACAGGGATGAGGAGTGGAAATTTGGTCTTAAAAATGATATCTGGAGGTTACCTTGACAAGGTGTGAATTTGTGGTAGTGGTGGTGGTGGTGAATATCAGTTGTTAGATTTACAGTGGGTGGAGTCACCTCTGTACCTGACCTCTGGCTGCATCTGGGAAGGATTACCTACACTGGGCTAACTGAGGTATGATAAACCACACTAAAGTTGTGTGGCACCATTCCATTTCACCAGAGTGCACACAGGCAGAAGACTGTGGTGATTTGGATGAGAAATGTCCCCCATCTGCTCATGCCTTTGAACACTTACTACCTTGTTGTTTGTGGCTGTCACCTTTTGGAACGAAGCCTTGCTGGAAGAGGTGTCTCACTTAGGCTTTGAGGATTTATAGCTTTATCCCACTTCCTATTATCTTTTCTTCTGCTCCCTATGTGGAAATAAACTTTCACTAAATTTTTCAGCATGTCCTTTAATTTTTTGCCTGAAATGGAGCTTTATCTACATTCTCAGCATTTTGGGCAGAGTAAATTATGATGAGGGTCTTCTCTCTTTGGCAGAGTAAGGCTGGGAATGTGCTAAAATATGAGAAGTTGGCAGGTCTGTGATGGGGCATGTCCTTCTGTATGCTGTGAATATGTTTCTCTTATTGATTAATGAATACAGATGTTTTGGCCAATGGACAGGCAGGAATTTAGCTCAGTGGGAAATCAGACAGGGATAGAGAAAGGTAGTAGGTGGATTCAAGGAGATGCCATGCAGCTACTAGTAAGGTAGGATGCCCAGGCATTCTCTGGTAAGATAAGGCCATGTGGAGATCTGTAAGATAAGGCATACATAGATTAATAGTTACGAGTTAATAATAAGAGAGAGTATCCTAATAGTAAGACTAAACCATTGGCCAAATAGGTTGTAATTAATATAAGCCTCTGTGTGTTTATTTGGGACTAAATGACTGTGGGGCCAGGCAGGCCAGAAACTTGGGTCCACAGATCTGTGAATCATTGATTTCTTACTCAAGACACAGAACAACTAATTCTTCCATCCCGTAACCCCCTGGATCATCACCAAACTGGACCTTCCCCCAACATTCTTGTGTGCTTTGAGAGTGAGGAGGACACCATGAACTCTGCCCACTTGAGAACCCTGTGTTCCAGCTACGGAAAGCAAAGGAGGAAAAGGAAAATTCATCCTGACTAGACTGGAATTTAGTAACCAACAGTGAACAAAGTGTTAGGGCACTTCTTCAAATTGTTAAGAATACTGAAGAGAGCATTGATTTTTAATGTGTAAATTCTTAGATGACAAAGCCACTTTATACCTCAAAATAACCGATTACATATATACTGGTAATAAGTGGAGTTTATTAAAGATATTAATCAAAACTTTCACATTAGTTTTTAATTTTTATCTACTTGATTTATTAATTTATTAGATTCTATGAGATGTAGGTTAAACCTATTTAAAGTTCTAAGAGATGTGTTTTAAAAATTATTGATGATTTAGCTACCATTTTCTTTAATTCTGATGGTTATTTGCTTTATAAGTTGTCAGGCTATGTTGTTATGCAAGGATATGCCATGCTGACTATGAGTATTTGATATTGTTTCTATTTTGTACATGACCTTTATTTCTTTGGTGATTTAAATTCTATTTTGACTCATTTTTTTTCTGGTTCTTTGGGAGAGGGTTATTAGTATCTGTCTCCAAATGAGGCAGGCAAAATGGGGAGCATGAAGGTTTTTTTGGGGAGGTGTTTCGAGACAGGGTTTCTCTGTGGCTTTGGAGGCTGTCCTGGAACTAGCTCTTGTAGACCAGGCTGGTCTCGAACTCACAGAGATCCACCTGCCTCTGCCTCCTGAGCGCTGGGATTAAAGGCGTGCGCCACCAATGCCTGGCTGCGTGAAGGTTTTAAAATGTAGATTTTAATATATTTTAAAACTAGTGATTTTTAGAATGATATATTTCTGAAATTTAATCTAATACTTTCTATTAATATTGATTCCTTCACATGTTGACCACTCCTAATTTTCACTGGTTAAATTTAATTTAAATCCCTTCCATCAGCATCAAAAGCTTATCATAGGTGCATCTTCCTTCTAAACATGGTGAAAAATTTTGCTCTCTCGCTTCCTTCTATTCAGGATGCGTCTGCACTTACTCTGTGCAAACTTTTGTGATTCAGCAATGGTCTTTGATGAGGCTTTTATATCTTCCCTTACTATTGGAAAAATTTCAGTCCTTATTTCTTCTTCATTCCCTACATCTTCTTTTCTCTCTTGGTATTGGAATCCCTGTTGGCCAGTTTGGGAGCTTTCTTTGCTGTTCCTTATTCATGCTCTTTTTTTAAAAAAAATTTAATCTTTTTTTAAAACAGAGTGGCTGTATCCACTCTGCTCTTCATTCAACACAATCATTAGACATAATTTTTTTCATACCTAGTAATTGATAGCCTTAATCGCTATCAATGAGGGGCAGACTGTTCATTCACAGCCCTGGATTTGAAGATGAATGAATCCCAGCCATTGCCCTCCTCCTCTAAATCAAAACTGAAAGATAGGAAGATGACCTCAAGTGTGTAAGGGGGTGGATGGTGTCTTAGCCTCAGGCCCTAGGCACCTAAAAATTTCAGTCCCTGGGAAAAACTAAGGGAAGGGGTGGTAGTTTGATGTGCCAGAATATATTCATAATTCACACAAGATTCTCTGTTCACCAAGTACAAATTCTTATAGCAAAATTATTGTGAACAGCCTCAACACATAGGGTTAATAAATAAACTAAAACATATCCTTCAGATATTTTATATAAAAACTTTAGGATTTTTTTCCCCTAGGTTTTGACTCAAGATTAATTTCTACCTCAGAGGGGAAAGGGACCTATTTAAAAATCCTTTATTCTTCCATTTATATTAAATAACACAAAATTATTTTTAATAATATGATATGGAATCTAGAGACAAAACACTTTGGCCTACAAAAGGGAACCAATTTATTTCATAAATCATATTCGTTGGCTCCTTGCAGCAATTTCCCTTTTCCCTGGGAAGGGGATGTTATTATGTTCTATCTGTGGCTCTTGGTGTAATTTTAATTCATCATTAAGAAACACTTTGCTTTTTAACATAAAGAATTCAGTGTGCTTGATGGAGCAGTGCTCCATGGAAAGTTAGTTTGGAGCAACAACTGTTTGGAGCAGAGGAGTTTATTAATTTATCAGAACCTTATGTTCAATTTCACATTTCTCAGCATAGGAAACAGCAATCATCCGCACCTGTTGCCAATTAAAGCATTAATGGCACATCAATCAAAGAGAAATCACTGGGAATGGAGATGACACAGGCTCTGTGCTCCTGTCAGTTTTTTGGAAGTCATCCTCTATTTCAACAGTAAGTGAAACCCGCAAGCCACACCCTCCAAATGCAGTCTCTACTTCTTGGAACAGATTTCAGCAGCTGAATTCTTCAGTTTGCAAGGCCACATGCACTTCCCTGTAGAGAAATTGTTGTCTTAGATTTAAAAAGTAACAATGTTACTATCTTAGTTGTTTTTCTGTAGCTGGGATGAAATACTCTGACAAAGAGAATTTAAGAGCAAGTAGATTCATCTCAGGTCACAGTTTGAGGTATAGCCCACCACGACAGGAGCTTGAGGCAGCTGGTCATGGTCAAGAAACAGAACAATGAATGCTCGTGTTCAGCTCACTTTCTCCTGTCCAGGGTCTAAGCCAAGAGAATGGTGCCACTCACAGTGGCAGGTCTCCCCAGCCCAACTAATTTAATCAAGATATTCTCCACAGGCATGCCCAGAGGGCCATCTCTGACATCTTATCAACTTGACAACTGAGTTAAATTATCAGTTTCTACACATGTGTAGAGTGGTTGGGGACTGTTCATATTTTTTTTTTTTAACCAAGCTTGATAAGACTTAATGACCAGGATTACATAAAGCAGGGTAGTGCTAACTGTTCAAGAAGTATGGTACTGGCCCTGTCTGTATAGGTTTCTCTGTGAACACAGGAGGCAGTCATAGCACCCACACCAAGAAGTCTACTGAGGAGGAGGCTGGGCTTTCTAGCATCTTGTTATGACTGGGTCAATGGTGCTCAAGCATGGCTTGCATTGAGATTTGAGATGAGGCTGGAGGTTGTGAGCAAAAGGAGTAATAAGTGCATGGATTACTGAAGCAGATGTATTCAGGTTCCGGGTCCCCGTCTGTCCGGGGTTTATACTCTTAGTTGATCTAATGACCGGTAGCCCATGGTCTAGGGTTCTAACTGTGAACGTTGAGCAGATGTGACATAAAGTAAAGAGGGTGACCATGTCTCTGACATATACGATGGACAGGTTGATCAGGAGTGGCCAACTTTCTGATATTAACGGACAGTGTTGCCATGTACAAAATTTGTGCTTTGGAATTCTATAAGCAAGGTCCTTTTTATTTGTCTTTTGTGTGTATATGTGTGTGCTTATTTCCATACACACATCACAAAGCTTCCTCATGCTTTGTGTTCATAGCTACCTTGGACTGAATCCATCCAGTGGAGTGTGGGTTGCATATGCCTGTTAGAAGACAGAGGCAAATTATAGGTGTCCAATTCATCTCTGCTGATTAATGGAATAAAGAAGACCCAGTGCCTGCCTGTCACCTGTCCAATCAAAATATAAAAGAAATGGACCCAGTACTTCCCAAATTTTAGCCGTGTCTTGTTTACCTGCCTCAGAGGATACATGCCGTTCTCTATCAGTGGTGCTTTTTGTAAGCTGAGCTAGAGAGAAAACTTTTTGTAAGCTGAGCTAGAGAGAAAACTCAATCCCATTTTCTTGTTTACTAATGGCTACAGTTTGGACTAGGGTTCCTCAAAGAATCATATGTAAGGGCTTGTTCTCAGGGATGCTGGTATCTGGTGGTCCTGTGGGATTTTAAGAGATGGGGCACTGTTGGATACCCTGAGGGCATAATGGTTGTACAACCTCCACTAGAGGTCTAAGCCATTGGGGTCGGCCAATTGGGAACTTCTGAAATTTCCACAGCCATTAGTCAAAAGAAATATCATAATTTCATAAAAATCTGTGTTAGGAATAAAGAGATGCAAAGCTGACTAACACTATAATTCAGGTATCCCCAATCTTAAAATAATATCTCAAAATAAAAATAGTATCTCAAATATTTTGAATGGCCAAAGATGGAGGGAAAGTGGGATGTCTAATACAAGGGCTTTTAGCAATAGGACGCTGTGAAGTTACCATAAAGCCTGCCTAGGATTTTCCATCCTTTCGTGCAGCATACTATATAGATGTAGTTCATATTACCTGTCCAATGTATACTCTGCAGAAATTGAGACTTTTTTCCATTCCTCATGCTGAAGGACATGGCAGAGCATTGCACTTCATCCACAGGCAACCTGGATTATCCATCAGTGGGCATATGTCTGGTAAGTCCAAGCACATTGTTTAATGTCAGAATTCAGTGTCTAAATGTTTGTTGTTCCTCTGGGGTTTCAAACCCAGAGTTTCTAGAAACTGACCTCTACTAGGTGAAGTCCTTTCTGTAGCACCCCGGAAGCACAGGATACCCCATGTCCTAGACAAGGGAGAATCTGGATGAGACAGAAGAAGATGAAGGGAGAATCCTTCATCCAGAGCCTCTAAGCTTGCAGACCCCACATCTATGCCGCTCTTGCCTGTGCTGCCCTGCTTCTTCACTCTCTCTTCTCCCTTCAGGGACCCTTTCCTCTGCCCTCTACTTACTTCCTCCCTCTCTCTCCACACACTCCCCCTCTCCTCCTCCTGTCCTTTTGTATTCACTCCCTTCCCTCTCTACTTCTCTTTACTCTCTTCCTTCACTCAATTCTAAAATCTCAGAAGTATCTTTTGCAGTCTTTCTAGACAATGAATTTTTAAAAGTAATTTGAGTTAAGTTTCTTGTTGCCTATATCTGAAAGTTCCTAATAACTGATTCCCTGGATTCTGAAACATTTTCCCGAGTGTCGCTGCCATTTCACTATGTCCAGAAGAGGTACACACATATATAATTAGAAATAACTGTTTGCATAAGTGGACACATTTGACGTTTAGTTTTCAGCACACTGTTTGCATACATGAGGGTTTAACTAGCTTGCCACTACTCTCATCTTGTGTTATGATAAATCTTTTTGCCAAAAGCCACCTGAGCCCTACTGCCATGTGGGCGCTTTCCACCAGCCACCCAAGTTCTGCCCGCCTAGTTAGGGCCCAAAATAATATACAGAGACTTATATTTGGTACAAATGCTGCTTGCCCAATAGCTAGGATTTCTCATCTGCTGGCTCAGTCTTAATTATCATAAATATATATATTTTATAAGATTTATCTTATAGAGGATGCCTTCTGCTGGTGCCCTCTCTTTCTGGTGGATCCTTTTGCGACTCCAGAGCAGACACCAGGAGGAAGAGAGAAGGGGCCCACTTCCTTCTTGCCCTTGTTTATGAGTCTCCCTGCTATGTCACTTCCTGCCTGGATCACCACTTCTTTACTACATTTCCCAGAATCCTCCTTGACTCCTAGTCCCACCTAACTTGCTGCCTCATTGGCCAAACAGTACTTTATTTATCATCCAGTAAGACACACACACACACAGAAGCACTTCCCCCCATCAATCTGGTGCCAAGTAAGTCAGTGTGCTGCAGGGTGTTTAACAGTATCTGTGTTTTCTGCCATCCAAGAGCTGGTACTGTCATTGTTCCACTTACAACCCTCTTCCCATAAAAATTCAAAAGTGTCTTTAGATGTTGTCTAATGTCCCAGTTAAGAACTGTTGTTCTAGTCAGACCGTCAGCATCAGAAGAATCGGCTCACTGCTTCCTTCCTTCTGTCCTTCCTTCCTTCCTTCCTTCCTTCCTTCCTTCCTTCCTTCCTCCCTTCTTCCTTCCCTCCCTCCCTTCCTTTCTTCCCTCAGGAAAGTATCTTCAGTACTTAGGACAGGATGGCCTCATGGTTAGAGGCTAAATTGATGTTTATTTGATGAGAAAGGCTCCGAGTAAGTGGGGGAGACTTGGCTGATACAGCTAAAATAAAAGATGCCGAAAGAAAGTCCCAAGAGGAAAACCACGCCACCTACTTATTCTGTACCGGGCCAAGGTTAGATAAAAATGGATACATGAAAAAGGAGAAGAGAAGAAAGGAAAGGAAGTAGAAGTTCAGGGCATGGCAATACAGCACAGCACACCCAGCTGACCCAGCTGAGAGGGCCCTAGAGTGCAGGATCTGAGCCTGGAGAGTAGGGCTGGGTCCTTCAGGAAAGAGGGGAAACACTGGTTTTAGGAATTCTCCTATGACATGGCTTTATACCTTCTCACTTTTTACCTTTTAAATAGAACAGCACAGCGCGTACTAATGACTAACTTGGGGCAAGACAGCGAAAACAGAACCAGGAAGAATTCCATTCCTTAAAACCACTGTGTGCTTATTTTGAAGTGCAGCCTGATCTCCATACCTTTACTGAGAAAGATTTTCCTCACAATTAAGTGACCAACACACAAAAGAGGCCCTCCTAATTTGAAATGCTTCTTATTCCAACTGAATGTAAAAATATGTAATTTGGAAATTTTCATTTCCTGTAGTTTTCCCACATTAAAGGATACCTGATACATGGAAATATAATATACATTCTTGGTAATACTAATGCATCACTCATAAAATGGCTTATATGACCCAACCACATGATGTTAGGCACAGGCTACACATATGCCATACACACCCAGTTGGAGCAGCAGTTATATAAGGTGGAAGCATCCAGTATAGTCAGAGCA